TTATGAGAGTCACTCTACCTCCCAGAGATAAAATATTGACTCTTCTACTTTGTCAGCTTCCTTTCATTTCTCTCCAAAACTTCACTCCATACTTCCAATTCTTTGTTCTTGGCTCCCAAGGGCATCCCCAAATATTTGGTGGGAAGAAAGGCCACTTGGCAGCCCAAGTTGTCGGCTAGGCCTTGCATATTATTGACTTGATTAACTGGGAACAGGGAACTCTTCTGCCAGTTCACATGTAGACCTGAAATGGCTTCAAATATGGTTAGTATTGCCCTCAGATGCCTAATTTGCGACACTTCTGCACCACAGAACACAAGAGAATCATCTGCATACAGTAGATGTGTAATCTCCATGTTATTAACTATGTTAGTATATGCACCAAAGCCTCTTATCCACCCCAATTCATTAGCCTTTCTAACCATGTAGTTGAGTCCCTCCATTGCTAGAAGGAATAAGAAAGGGGACATGGGATCTCCTTGTCTCAGTCCCCTTTGTGATTGAAAGAAACCTTCTGGACTCCCATTTATAATGATTGAGAATTTCACTGTTGACACACAAAACTTGATCCAATTCACCCATTTCCTCCCAAACCCCATGTCACTCAGAACTTTAAATAGGTAGTTCCAATTTACATGGTCGTATGTCTTCTCTATGTCCAATTTGCATAGAATACCTGGTATCTTTTGCTTTACCCTGGAGTCGACCAACTCATTAGACAATAAAGAAGCATCCATTATCTGTCTATCCTTCAAAAAAGCCATTTGATGCTTGTTAATCAGTCTCCCCATAACTGTTTTCATTCTGTCGGTGATCAACTTAGCGATGATTTTGTACATTCCACCAATCAGACTTATTGGCCTAAAATCCTTGAGTTCCTCTGCTCCATGCTTCTTAGGGATTAATGCCACAAAGGTGGCATTCAAGGATCTTTCAAACACTTCATTCTGGTGGAAGTTATGAATTGTTTGCATCACATCATCCTTTATGATCTCCCAGCACTCCTTGAAGAAACACATAGTGAAATCATCTGGGCCAAGGGCTTTATCCCCATCACACAATTTGAGAATGTGTACCACTTCCTCTACTGAGAATGGTCTCTGCATCCATTCTTGCTCCTCTTGACTTATTCTGGGGCAGTTCGTCATCACAAAAGGTGGCCTCCAGCTTTCTGATTCAGTGTATAGCTTCTTATAGAATTCTGTTATATGCTCTTTGATTTCTTTCGGTTCTTTACTCTCCTCCCCGCTAATAACCAGTCTATCGATGGTGTTGTATCTCCTATGTGTTGTTGCCACTCTTTGAAAGAACTTGGTATTATTATCTCCCTGCTTTAGCCATAATACTCTGGATTTCTGTCTCCACCTGGACTCTTCATTCTTTGCTAACTCTTCTAGCTCAACTAGGATCGTTGCTCTAATAATCATCTCATCCTCTGTCAGCATTCTGTCATTTTGAATCAAATCTATCTCAGCTAGCTCATTTAGTAACTTGTTTTTCTTGTTGATGAGTTCCCCAAAAGTTACACCGCTCCATTCTTTGAGTTTCTGCTTTAGCATCTTTAATTTCATGCTAAGTTTGAAGTCTGGGCATCCTTCCACAACAAAACCATTCCACCAGTCCTGAATTAAATCTTTGAAACCCTCAACATTAGTCCACTAATTTTCAAATTTGAAGTAAGGCTTCCTTTATTCCCAGTCACCACATTGTAGCATAATGGGGCTGTGGTCAGATATAACTCTAGGCATAATTTGTCGTCTAATGTTTCTGAATTGTTCTTCCCACTCAGTTGAGTAGAGAAACCTATCCAGCCTAGCAACACTTTGATGGTTAGGCCCTCTGAACCAAGTGAAATTCCCACCCTTTAGACAAGGGTCATGTAACTCCATATCCTCTATCCACCTCGAGAAATCAGTCATTACATTGGTTATTCTCCTGCATCCTCTTCTTTCGGCCATTGTTCTAACAGTGTTGAAGTTCCCATAGGTAACCCACGGACCTCCACTTAGCTCCCTAACCGCAACAATTTCTTCCCAGCATTCTAATTTTTCAGTTCTAGTGTGTGGAGCATACACACCAGTGAGAAACCAGCAAAACCCATCTTGGACAGCTTCGAATTTGTATGTAATTGAGAATTTGCCTTCCTCTACACTACTGCCCACCCAAATTCTTGAATCCCACATTATCAGGACCCCCCCGCTGCTGCCATTGGCTTCGATATACCCACACCTCATCCATCTGCTAGCCCACAATTGCTTGGCAATCCTGTCTACATCCTTGCTGATTTTTGTCTCCTGAAAGCAGTAAACATCAGCTCTCCATTTAAGTAGAGAGCTCTAAACCAGATTCCTTGTTGAAATCTTGTTAATCCCCCTAACATTCCATGATAATATATTTACTTTCATTTGAGAAATAGTGGCTGGACTTTCCCTCTGTTCCTTACACCTTCAACTTCCTCATTCAAATCTGACTGCAAATTCTTCAACTCATTCTTGCCAATTCCTCTGTGTCGAGGAGTTGCTGCTTCACTATTTTCCCCTTTCTTCTCCATCCCCCTTTTTCTTTCATCGATCTTCATCAGTAATGTATGTGTTTCTCCCCTAAAACCTTCAAACGCCATTCTGTAAGTTCTGCTAAGTTCCAAAATATGTGAACTCACCCAATTGGATGCTTCAACCTCTGCATCTGTCTGGTCTCCAGGGCTTTGTATGGATACCGGCTCAACATCATGAATCTGCTGAATTTGCCAGCCTTGTACTCCTGAATTCTCCCCAACATCCTTAGGTTGGTCGATCTCCTTTGCTTTATTGCGAGTTGGTTCAATAGCCTCTTCCATCTGGTTAATCGACTCTCCGAAATTTTGATTTGCAGAGCTGTTGATGTTCTCTACCATCTTCGCTTTTTCCATTTTGTTGTACGCATGTAGGAACTGAGACGCTAGTTCCTTGATGTCCTTTAACCCATCGAGAAAACTCCCTTGCTTATCACATATTACGTCAAGTTTTTTATTTAAAAGACCCCCTTTTTTAGTTTGCTCTGGCCCAAACCTTTGAATTGGTCTTTGTTTTGAGTTGGACTCCCCCCGGCCCACTCCTTTATTTATTTTCAAAATCTGCCCATGCTCTTCTGTCAAAACACGTGATTCACCTGCGGTGTTTGTTGCTTTTTGACTTTGCAGGAGGTTCTCGTCTTTACCCAATGGTTTTCCGCCTCGTATCCGCTGGGTAATGACTTCAGTGTTCCGGTCTTCTCCGGCGACCACCCTTACCGGTGATTCGGTCCAAATTTGCATCGTATAGCATATTTCACCCCCGTCGATGGTCACCTCTTTGGGTATGTCTGCTCCATCTCCTTTGATTCTGATTCTTGCCCACTTGAGATGATTTCTCAATTGGGTTTCCTCTTTTGTCTCTACCCACCCTCCGCAAAAATCTCCGATAGCCTTGAAAATTTTCTGGGACTAGAATTGCAAAGGTAACCCTAAAATTCTTACCCAGGTCGAGCTTTCTGTACCCCTCCCGCATCTCGTACCTATTCTCTACCAAGATCGTAGAGGCTCTGATACCATGTGAGTAATACAGGAGAAAAATATTATTGAATTGTTGTGTGTCTACATTACGTAGAAACCCTATTTATAGGCACTATAATACAATCCTTTACCAAGTAGGAAACTATATATTATTCCTATTCCTATTTTAAGTAGGATTGTGTATTACCTATTTCTATTCTAACACTTCCCAATTATAGAAAGGTGTAATTTTTTTCTGGAACAGACTATAAAGGAAAGTATGCCACATAAATTGGTATAGGGGGATATTACTAAGAGTTTATATAATGTTAGTGTAAATGGCTTTTTGTACTATCAAGTTATTCAAAGAATATTTACTGGTAAGCCTTTACTTTAGAATGAGAAATTTGGATCTTAACAAATAAAATATACTACTTGCCCACTTTATCCAAAAAAAAAAAGAATATACTACTTGCCTAGTTTTGAATGATGTGATTATCTCGTTAAAAAACATAAAATAATACCCTTAGTTTACTTTTATTTTTCCCTTTGTGTGTAAAAGAGGGTGTAAAAGATGCAAGTTGTGAGCTGAGTAATAATTTTCGATGGATAGTATGGGCTGACTCATATTTGACCCACTTTTGAAATGATCGGATATTCAACCCATTTAAAATGGGTTGGTTTGGGCGGAGCGGATAGCCGTAAATTTTCACCATTTTGCCACCCTTACATCTTATACTTTTTGATGCAAAGTAGCCAATGGTATTTTTAGTTTGATAATTTGTGCTTTTGAGTGTCCCACCTAATGCATGCCTAGGTTGTTGAATCCATTGCTTTACTGGTAGAAATAATGTTTTTTTTAAAAGGAGTTTGTCATGATATGAATGTAGAGGATGGGTGGTTCTTCACTACACTGTTCCATTTGTATGATACTATCACTATTTGGACAAAAATTCTTTTTCCTTGAATTTTAATTTTTAAACTTTTCGTATTAATGCGTAAAATTGAAATTAATTTGTTTTATGTAGTTTACTAAATGAAAATGTAAGTTTTACTTTGAAAGTTTGAAGAAAATATCCAGATTCACACAAAAAATTTGATGCTTTTAGTTCGTACTTAGATTCTCATCATTCGACAACCCATTTTGGAAAGGAGGTCAGAGGTTTTGTGCTTGAAGCATTCCCTCCCTCTTTTGTGTGGTGGTGCGTATATGGGAGGTGTACTAGAAACTGGCTTGAAGCTCTCACCTTACCAACAAACCGATAGTTGATAGCTGTTGGTCATGTCTACCATCAAATCGCTCCAATGAAGATTAATAGTAGTTGACATGGGAATGTGTGTGTCTACAGCTTATTGAGGGAGTATGTTGTGAAGTACTTGCTGTTCTAATTATTTCCTATCTTTTACCCGATAAAATTTGGATGTGAAGTAGAAATTAGTGCTGATTCTTTTCCTTTAACTTGGAGTTTATATTTTTTCTTGATGTCAATAGGTGAACTTTATACTTGGGGACGAGATGAAGGGGATGGTCGATTGGGCCTTGGTCCAGGTCGAGGCCCAAATGAAGCAGGTGGTCTTAGCATCCCTTTAAAAGTAAAATCACTTCCTACAAGCGTAGCTGCTGTTTCATGTGGTGGGTTTTTTACAATGGCACTTTCAGAAGAGGGAGAGCTTTGGAATTGGGGAGGTAAGATTCTATCGCTTTTTTGATGCTCTTCCCTTATGATGATGTCAATTTGTTGAAAGGAAGGGTGGTTTGTTCCAGTTGACACCATTATTTGTGTTTGATCCTTATCAAAAAAATTAGAAGGAAGGTCGCATGCTTTTCTTTTATCATAGTTGAGTGCTGAAGCGTAATGATGACTTCAAGTGGAGGCAAAATATGGCTTGGATGTTGTCTTGATATCATAATCCTAGTATTACACTCACCCGTTCCTTCTGGATTAGTCGAGCATCTTGATGTCTCACATGTCAAGCTAACCTAGAAATTTCACTTCCCAAGCTGATGCAATTCTGTTCATGAATTACAGTCATCTGATAACAAATTGCATGGATCTGTTCCTTTCTTTTCCCTCAATGGTAGGTTGCAAAAGGGTCAACTAATGTTGCATGGACAGTGTATGTCTTTTGTGAGACACTCAACGTTTGTTAGTGGGTCATTTCTAAACTGAAGGACATATCATTGAACATGTACACATTTTAAATAGTGTTTGTTCTTGTCGATGAATGTATACGACTTCCAATTAGCAAATGAATAACCTAACTCCAATTACATATTTTTTGTGTGTATACACACAAATACTAATTTGTGGGCACATACATTACACATGTATCTTGTGTCAATCGGTCCCAAACTTTTTAAAATAACATAAATGTTATGGAAAATAGCTATTTAGTCCTTGCCTTACTGTATTATTCCTATTTTAGTCCCTATAATATCTTATTAAGCACATTTGACCTTTGATCAAGTAATGTGTCTGTTTTTAGTCCTTTTACTAACGGAGCCAAAATACCATAAAGAACTGATAACTCTACGAAGGGCAATTCGGTATTTTCAAGATAAAATTCTCCAAGTCAAAACAGAAGAGAACTTTGTTTCTACCGTTCTAGTTTGGATCATCCACTGTACAAAGAATCTTTTTTTTTTTTGCCTTCGCTGCATAATTCTTCAATTGAAGACCAATTTTTTTGAAGTTCGCTAGTTAGTTATCCTTGTGATGGTCTTCACAATTGGATACGGACAAAATCTAGGTACAGTGAAATTGGAAGCATTTGCAGCAGTGTCTTGTGGGCTACGGTTCTCGACTTATCCACCCTCTTCTATATTTTCACAATCTTCATAAGTTACTATTAGATTAGCGTAACTAAATTATAACTTGTGATCATTCTAGGATCTTGCACAATTATTTTGAGGAATGAAACAGGTTTCACATTAATGAAGAAGTATCAAAAGAGAAATCCGAGAAAAAGAAGTGCTGGACTCGAAACAAAGCTTAAAATTGGGAAAACTGATAATGGACTTCGAATATTGGAGCAAAATACACCCACCCCAGCCATGAACTGCGCCCTGATTAAAAACATGTACGATTTGATTAAATATAAGCTTCGAAAATAACAAATTTGCAGTCAATTGTGTGCATTTTGTTTTGGTTTTCAACTTATTGTGTGTAGTTACTGACAACTAATCCACCAAAATAATACAAGAAGAATTCTTAGATCGCAATGAAAATTTAAATACCTGAATTGGCTTTTAAAAAATAATACAATAACACAGGGACTAAAATAGCTATATTCCCTAAATGTTATTATCATAACATGCATGATATATTAAACGAAAGTAGGAAAGAGAGAGTTCTCGAAAAATGTACCTCCTGCTTACTGGAATTTAAACCACAACATTTCCGTTACAATGCTGTGGCTTTGGAAGATCAAGATCCCTCCAAAACTCTCTTGTTTTACCTGGTTAGTGGTTAGGAAAGCATGCCTAACACATGAAAAACTACAAAGAAGTGGTTTTCAAATTTGCTCAAGATGTCTACTATGTGGATTAGATGTGGAGACACATGGCCACCTTTTCATCCATTGCAAGACAACTGCAAATCTGTGGTACATGCTCCTTTGTATTTTAGGTCTCCCAGTTGGGTCTTGTCTAAAACTACCTTTGAGTTACTCAACAACTGGAAAGGTATGGGTAGAAGAAATGGGGAGGGGAATCGGTGGCAGCTGATCCCAGCCTGCATATGGTGGATAGTTTGAAAACTTTTTGAAGACACAAGCAACCCAACCCACAAACTTAGGATGAGTTCCCTTAGTCTATTGTATTTTTGGTGTAAATAGGATTTCTTATATGTTATGTTACCTTTATAAAAAAAAGAATATATGTTTCGTATTGTACAACAATGTTAAACGAATTTTATTTGATTAAAGTTATTTGTCCAATAGCATTTTAGTTTGAGCCTTCCACTTATAAAATGTATGTATGTATTTATTTCAGATCATCTGTTGCTCTTAAATCCAGCAAGTTCAGCACCCCAGCATAATAATAAACCAGACCCATAATAATGAACAAGACCTAGAAACAAACTTGATGAATCATCAAATTGTGCTCCCAGGGCTTTGATCTGGTGGTAATAGTGAACATGTGATATGTAGGCTAGGCATACGTCACAACCCTACCATAGTTAAAAGCTTGGTATTTAAATGGAGAAGGGTAGAGGGGTGAACCTATAATCTGCCGAGTTTCAAACCTTGTGCCCTTGGCTCCGGGGATTTCCCCATTATAAATAAATAAGTAATGAGTCTTGTACTTCTATTTTGATACAGGTAAGGATAATATCAAGTCTCATGCTAAGTTATAGAATAGATAGAGTTTGACTTTATCTGGTATAGGACTGAACATTCCAGTATTGTTCTTTTTCATCTACTTTCTTGGGTGTACTTTGAACACTTATCGTCTATTATGTGACCTTTCTTTCGATCAATAACATTTCTGGTCTCTTCTTTTCTCAGCCAATTCAAACTATGAGCTTGGAAGAGGTGACAAATTAGGTGGTTGGAAACCACAACCAGTTCCAAGCCTTAAAGGTGTTCGTGTTATTCAGATAGCTAGTGGGGGATATCATTCTCTAGCTTTGACTGGTAGCTTACACTGAAACTACTTTATGTCACATGCATATCTATCTATGTATCTGAAATACTTATATTAGAAGTATCCTTTACTCTCAGATAAAGGAGAAGTGCTTTCATGGGGTCATGGAGGCCATGGTCAACTGGGTAATTCTTCTCTTCAAAACCAGAAAGTCCCTATCCAAGTTGAGGCTTTGGCCCACGAGAAAGTCATCTATATATCTTGTGGAGGTTCATCGTCGGCAGCTATAACAGGTAAAACATGTCACAATCTGTTTGGTTAGATGCATTACACAAGGATTAGTGCAGAAATTATCATCCATTAAGTCGAAGCTATGAATAAAGGACTTAAAAGAATTGTTCTCATCCAATTGTTCCCATTTTCCATCGCTGCTTTAGAGACCTGTTGATTAATAAGCCATGACCTGTGCTGTATGATTTTTGGCTTATTGTACAAAGGATGAAATGCACTAATAATTAATTTTGCTGGTGACAGATGGTGGGAAACTATACATGTGGGGCTATGCAAAAGATTGTCAACTGGGTGTTCCGGGATTGCCGGAGAAACAGTCAACTCCTATTGAAGTCAAGTTTCTTATGGAGGATGATGGACTTGGATACCATAACGTGCTTTCAGTAGCCATCGGTGCTTCTCATGCCATGTGCTTGGTTTCCAGGTCAGGTCACTTAAAGTGTTGAAAAAGGATCACTCTGGTTGTATAATGACTCAATAGCAATGAAGCAGTTTTCTGCAGCTTTTTATCTGGTAAAATACCAGGTTAAATTTAGAGTTTAGTCCATTTGGGATGATTATTGTTCCAGGAACTTTGTTTTCACCTTACAAGAGATCTCCACAGTTTTGAGTTTTTTTCTTGACTTAGGTACTCTGAAATAAATGAATGTTGAGATGCTTATTAATCTCCAAAGTAGCGGCTAGGATTAGGGCACAGTACGTGTGTGCCTTTCACAGGCTTATCATTGTCATATAGGTTTGTGACAAAGCAGCTTTTGAGCTCTGAATGTTGTAAAGAAATAACCAAGGCTCTTCCTAGGAAATGTTTAGCATCATCTTGATTAGGTCTCTTGATGATCAGTTTCCTTGACATGTTGATGCTAGTTTTGTAAGTGGTGAACCTGAAAGACAGAAGAGAATTCCTGTTAAGTTTTCAACATTTGTTTGTATAAATGCTATTTGAGTTACTATCTGCAAAAGCTCATTTTGATGATTCACTTTTACTTGGTTCCTGTTATCATTGATTTAAACTGTTTTTAGTAGTTTGCTCAGAGGAATACTTTCAAAAATTTGATGATGGAACATTGGTGATCTGCCATTGGTATTTATGTTTCAGAATTTGGCCCTTCGATAGTCAGGTCATCTAACCATTTTTCAGAGTGAAAATTCATTATTTTTTTTGGTGAGCTGTTGCAGAGTTGAGGTCTGCAGCAACCAAACCTATTCTATAGTTGTGGAGAAACACACACTTCACACTAAGGTTCAGGACTAAACTGGGGAACTCCTTTTACCAATGAGATCAAAATGCCTTCATCAAGCTGACGCCTCATATGAACTTGTCATGTTTTATTTTGTTGCAGAATGATATTTCAGCACACTAAAAAATTAGGGATTTGGGCTTAGAGGTGTCTGGCAAAATTTGATCGGATCAAAATGATGGTTTATTGATACGGGCCGTAATGAGCGAAAAATATGGGTCATGACTTTAATTCTGACTAAATATTAATTACTTTGTTTGTTCATTAGAATTTTTTAGTATCTGATAATAACTTTTTTATTATGACTATATGACATCAAGAAGAAATAGATGATTTTGAAAATATTATGACAAGATTTCTAATAGGTTAATTTGGAGTATATATCAAGTCAATTTTTGATGGGTCAAGATAGACTGAGTTGATAAACGGGCATAAACTTGAACAAATTGTATTTGCATGAAAAAAAATTCACATCACATGTATTTAAAACTCTATATTACAGGCCATAAATATACTATGAATTGAATTATTTAAATATAAATTTTGCATCTCATGAGTTTCTTCAATTGAATGTACATTGCTTTCACCAAGAACACCATATTATATTGCATCCATAGCCCTGTCTTTCAGAATTATGGATAAGGGATACTTGTTGAAGAAATTCGAGATACATCTGGTTATATATATATATATATCGTTTATAAAGTATTTAACTTCCACTTCTTCAATTATGGTATCTACTCTTGGGTTAATATACAACCACATTTTTTTTTTTTAATAAATTGCATCCATGAATGGATGTGCATTTTATTTCTTCCAGCAAAAACTTACATATTGATGCACCATTGAGTTCAAAGGAACTGATCAAAAGTTGCCAGTTCCATGACTAGCACTATGTACAAAAGTAAGCTAATTAACTAACAAAGAAGTTGGCCTTGTCATATTTAATTCTCATGCTAGGTAATTGAGCTCAGGGGCGGCTCTTGCATACAAAATTTGAGGCATATGCCTTAGGCCCCCAATTTTGGGGGGCCTCAAATTCTTACCAAGAATAAAATTTTTGTTAAGTTTTTTACATAAGATTATATTATTTTGTTCTCCTTAACCTCATTCAAATAGAAAAAATCAATTATTTTTCGCTAACACATATTATTTATCTGTTTGAACTCTTTTTTTTTTTCAAATCTTTGATAAGTTAGAGTAATAATATGTCAAAAATATGAATCAATAGTCGAAAAGTGTTGAACAAAGAAAATTACAAATTCTTTTTTTATTTCTTCTTAAATTTTCAAGCAATACAACAAACATATTAAAGTAGGATATACCAAGTTATCAAATTCTATGATTTTAACTCTTGTTTTGATTTAAAGTTTGTCAACTTATTACTAAGAATTATGTTAACAATTCATATAGTAATGGCCCCAGTAAAAGAGTGTTTTCTAATGTTGAAATTGATAAAATCTTACCTAAACTAATAATAATATAAAATTTAAAAGATATTTGAGGAAAACATCTATAAAGAAATTTTAAGCAAAAATTTACATCTAAAAAGTTAGACAAATAATTTTTAAATAAATATATATGAAATTTATTTAGATTTTAGGCCTCTAATTGAAATTTCGCTTTAGACCTCTAGTTACATTGAGCCGCCCTTGAATTTATTTGAGCTTTGTCCAGATGATAAGCTCCTTTGGAACTGTTGGGGATCTGCTGCCAGTTTTGAAAGATATGGCTTCCCTCATGGATGGCACCAAATTTGGCTAGTCCATCTGCCACTTGGTTAGCCTCTCTGAGCAATGTTCAATACTACAATTCATATTGTTCATTATCTACACAATATCTTCGATTATAGTCTTGAGTTTAAGATCGTTGGTGCCCCTGTTCTTCATCATAGAGTCTAGCTCAATTAGGCAATTAGTCAACCCATTCTGAGCACACACACCATTGTATCCCATACTTAGCCGCTTTTGCCTCTGCTTTGTTGTTGCTGTCCTTCGCCGCAAAAGCAATATTCATTCCTAACTATGCCTCCAATGCCAGCTCCATTGTTGGAGAAACTCCCATCGGTGTTGAGTTTCACCTTTCCTAAGGGTTGGTTTAATCCATTTGATCATCTTCCATTCGGTAGTATGTCTAAGTTGCTCCACTGTTTCGCTGAAATTTCTCCAGGAGTCTGCCATCTCAAATGTTGGAAAAGCTAACTTAATAGCTGTCCACCAGATGTTGTTCTCCATTCCTCTACACCAAAACATCTTTTGTGTACCATATTTACAAGAACACCTTTGTCTCCATATCTCCCATAGGAACTATGTGTAAGGTCATTTTGTGAATCCTGCTTTTTGCTTTGGTCGACCACCATTTTCTGAGTATTCTTCAGTTTGTCTGAGTACAGATACTGAGGGGTGTGTTCCACATTTGTCTAGCTATGTTGTTGTCTATAAAAAGGTGTTGTCCAGTTTCCTTCTGTTTTTGTGCACAACAAACACAAAGTCCCAAACTTGCATAGATAGTTTTCTATGGATGATTCTCCATGCTAGGAAAGAAATTTTAAAAGGAAGTTTAGGGTGCCATACCTGACTGGTGGTGAAGTACTCCTCTTCTTTGTGCGTTCCATGCCGATTTCGTAGAAAAATTACCTTCTGTCTCAGTCTCCCAAATGGCAATGTCTTTCTTGGTACTCTTGCCAATATATGGATATTAGCTATGATATTAACCATTTGATCAGGAAGAAATTAATCAAGTCATTGTAATGCGTATTTGAATCATAATTCCTTCGATTTTGAAATCCACATATCTACTTACTTTTACCACACAATCAAATAAGAAAAAACCAATTTTTGTTGTCAACTTGTTGCACATGAATATAAAAGCGAGATTATTTTTTTCCAAACGAAATTACTATATAAACAACATATATACTGCATCGTCATAAATAAATATGTTTCTGGTCTTAATAACAAAACAAATTACAAAATAATTAAATTTCATGTTACATTTCATCTATCTCCTGTTGAGTTAAGATTGAATGAAGACTACTCTCTTCCATGATGGAAAAGGGTTATTTTAGTTTATTTGCAAGATTATGATTTTCCAACTTAAAGAGAGACTTTATATTTTAATGGAGCTGTGACACTCTGTCTCAATTCATATGACTTAGTTTGACTTGACACAAAATTTAAGAAAGAAAGAATGAAAGACATTTGAAATTTGTGATTAAAATAAATTATATATATATTTGTGTGACGTTAAATCATTTCATTAAGGGAAAAATGACAAATATACCCTCGAACTATCGTAAATGGCATGCAGATACCCTCCGTCATACTTTTGGGACATTGATGCCCCTGCCGTCCAAAAACTAGAGCATATATGCCCTTCAGCCTAACAAAAGTCTAAATAGGGACACGTGACACAATTTTATTCGTCGATCTGATATTTAATAAATGTTGGGTCGGTAGATAAGTTTATGACACGTGTATGCTTGTTAATATAAAAGGGTATATATGCTCTAGTTTTTGGACGACAGGGGCATTAATAACCCAAAAATATGACGGAGGGTATCTACATACCATTTATAATAGTTCGAGACATACTTATCCCTTTTCCCTTTCATTAAGGCTAAAATAACCATTTTCAAGTTAAATTGTTACTATTAAATATTTTAGAGGAGTATTATTTATCGAAAACTATAAAGTTCAAAGTCCTTCATCTCCTTCTTTTCTTCTCTTTCATGATTTAATTTGCCACCTTTAACTGTTGGGAAAACCTTGAATTTTGATTGACAAGTTAGGGGGTTTAAGGTTTGGTCCCTATGAAATAATGGAAGTTAAAAATGTAGCGTCGTCTTCCCTTATTTGCTAAAACATTATGATGAATATTTGACCGGATGCACGCTTATAGAGAAGTGCTGTGCCCCTACATCAACTCTGCATGTTTTACATAAATGATCATTATACTTCATCATTTCCTTTCTTCCCTCTTTATGGTACTGCACTCTATTCCGTTCTATTTATATGTTGTCCTTATTAAAAATAAATATATTTTAATATCCTCCGTTTATATATTTTTACTTGTCCACTATACTATTTTGTCTTTTGGATATCCAATAATACTTATCCAGTTTATAAAATCAATGAACAATTTACCAGTTTGTGTTTGTTTTATCTTTGCTATTAAATGGAGTACTATTTACCTTTTTAATGTTTAGATGATTTATATTTAATAGGGGTAAATTAGTAAAATTACCCCTATTATTTACTGTTTCTTAATCCCTGTGCTAAGCCAATAGTAGACAATTATTATTGGACAGAGAGAGTACTTGTCATTTCACAAAAACAATGATATTTTTTCCTATTTTATCCATAACATTATTAGTCTTGAAAGTATTCATTTGATCAATATAAGAAAAGTAAATAATTAATTCACGTTTTTGGTCAAATTAATTAATCAAAATAAAATAATTTATGCTCATTTATTAAAAACTTGACTTCTAAAATACACTAAACAAGGATATAATGGTAAACTTACATAGTTTTATAAAAAACGTGAACCTTAAATGATGACAACTATATAGGAACAGAGGAAGTATTCTTTTTCAACCATAATTAAAACAGTTGTGGTGTTAAAAGAGCTATACATTGTAATGCCCAGTCCCACTGGACTGAACAACTAATAGATATTATCACGACCCCTCAATTAATAATAATAATAATTAGTTTTTGGGACCAAAATTGGGTACATTCTTGTAATAACCTGGTACTGTTGACAACTTTTTAATTCACTATTTAAATTTTAGTTATAATAACTTAAAGAAGTAGTAGTTGAAACTTGAAAGTGCCAAATGTTTCATTTGAAATGAATTTTTCCTTCTGCTAAAATAATTCTGTCAACTTTAAAATAAGCTGTGTTTAGCCGGTGGCGGAGTCAAAAATTTCATGAAAGGTGTCTAAGTGCTAAAGTGAATTTTTTTTTTGCTATTAGTGAGATTCGAACGAACAAACAAACACTTTAAATTTGTGTGTCTTTACTCTTTCAAGGTGTTTGAAATCACTAGGCTACATCATATTGTTGTGTCAAGGGTGTCCAAAATATGTTATTTAACCACTTTATTTATCATTTTACTTGTCTATACGGTATAATTTTTTGACAAAAAATGTCCAATTGAACACCCTGACATAAGGGTAGCTACGCCTGCCCCTGAGTTTAGCGATGAATATCATATGGATAGTTCAAAGAAATCAAGTCTTTGTTATTGTTTGTACACACGCATTTATCAAAAGAAATAAAAAGACGATAAAAGGGGTCGGATCATTATCACTCATTTATACTCTAGACAATGCTAAATCTGGAGAAAAACCAAAAGTTCTGAGCCTCGGAGCCTGTTTGGCATTATTGTTAAAAATGACTTATTTTTAGAAGTACTTTTTAAAAATAACTTTTAAGAAAATTGCTTTTGAAAAAAATAATAATTTATGTTTGACTAATTCATTTGAAAAGTGTTTTTCGTAAGCAAATTGCGTTTGACTAATCTTTTTAAAAAAAAATGCATTTGAGAATCAAATTATGAAAAAAAACAACTATTAATGTACTTTTAATATTAAAATTATTTTATAGAGAGAAACTATTTTAAATATCTATGTAAAAAAAATTAATTAAACATTTGTTTTTATTAAATCAAGATGTACGTATGTAAATTTTCAATCAATATTATACCTTTTTTTTTTTGAAAGGGTTGAAATCTTTAATTCTATTTTTTTTTCTAACCTTACAAAATTATTGTTATTATCTTTTTTTTTTCTAATTCAATAAATTATACGTAAAATAATATGTAAAATATTAAATAATAATATATAAACGTAAAATAAAATAAAAAATTTATTAAATAAAATAAAATAAAAATTCTTAAATAAAATTTAACCAAACTTATGAGATATATTATTAATTAATAAAAGATATATTGGTAAATATGTATATATGAAAGGAATATTTTACTCTTTGAGAAAAATAATTTTTTTGTTTCTGCTTCTGTTTTTCTTTTTTAAGAAAGAGAAATTTTTAGCTTATTCGAATTCTCAATAGCAAAAAAATTGTTTCTGTTTCTATTTGAAATCACTAAGTATTTTTTTTCCAAAATAAATGTTTCTGATCTCCCAACAATAATGTCAAAAAGGCTCTCAAACTCTTTTGTTTATCCATGACCGATACAAATTAAGAATGATATAATTAAATGAAAAATAAAAAATTAACCGTTATTTTCTCCTAAGAACTAATTAAGCACTGCCAATTCGAGTAACAGGGATGTGACTGATACCATTCATTTCTAATTTTTTGGAGTCCAACTTTGGTTGTCCACAGGAATGGCAAAATTTTTTGTTTTAAAAAAGTAATTATTTGATGCGACCCATAAAATATGGATTTAATAGCTGACGTCCATTTAAAAATATATTAAATTAATTATTTATTTTAAAATGAATATTCATATTATGACAATACTCATTTGTCTATTTGTTACTCTCTTTTTTTGTGAAGTCTTGTTTTCCGAATGCCCATGCTTATTTTTGTTTTCGCTTATGTTCTCACCAAACCATGGATATAATATGTTAATATTATTGGTCGGTTAACTCATTTCTCATCCTTGTTACAATATGGGCAGAGTTAGAAGTTTGGGTACGGGTTCGAATTCAGTAACTTTTATTCAAATAGTATATTTATATTAAGAAGTTTATTAAATATGTACAAATATTAAGTTTAAAATTCAGTTGATAACACTTAAAATCATCGTTATAAAATTCAAAACTCATGAAATCAAACCTCTTTGTAACGATCATCTTCTATAATAACATTTCACTACAATAACTATGTTTCTTCCTGACATTAATTTTTTATATTATACTATATTACATTATACATTTTTCTAATAATATTTAGTCAGAGCAATAAAATATATTTTTTTAACAAATAATACTGTTATAAAAATAATAATTTTACTGTAATTCTTGGTGGAATTACAAACTTAAAGTATTGCTCCAAATCCTTTCTTTGAATCACTAGGAGACAAAGACTGTGTTTTCACAAAGCTAAATGCATTTTGGTGTCTTTGTAAAGAAGAAAGAAAACTGACTTTTCTTTTTTCCTCTCTTTTGTTGTTTCTGCTTCTTAGTTTTTTTTTCTTCTTGATGGAAAAACATTCCCTTCTTAAAAGGGAGTGCAACAGTTTTAAAAAAAAACTGTTCCCTCCAATCCCTTTTATTTTTTAAGCAGATAACTAATTTCACTTATCCTCTTATTTCCAGAGAAAACAAAATGTATCGAATTGGGTCGATTCACATGGGTGATTCATGACCCGTGAAATTTGACCCGAATTCTAACAAATCCATTGTGGTTCTCAAAAGCAAGTGTATTAAAAAAGAAAAACATCTGCTCCAGTTACTTTCAACAGAGAGTAGGACGCCCACAATTGAAGTCTTTTTCATTCAAATGCACAAGCAATCCATTTATTTAACCAGCTCGAATCCCCACAATGACAAAAAAAAAAGACTAATTTAATTATACTGTTTAGTGTTTGACACTCAAAAAGATTAAAAAGTTTTAACTTCTTTGATTATTAAGACGTTACGTTGTCTCTTCATGTGGCCCAAAATATCACTATTTCTCGTACTCAATTAAAAAATCACTAATTGCAATATGTAGGGATACAATTAGCTGTTATATATTTAACTTATTTGAGGTTCTATTATTTTTTTTCTCAACTTATTGTTAAGATTGTACTGATTTTTATGTTTAACTTGTTTTGTTTACTAAGATGAAATAATTGCACAAGTAAGTGAAGTTTTTGCACTAATTTTGTATCTATGAAGATGCATCACTCGTTTCTTCATTTATGAAATTGTTATACTTGTAAGTTGTACCGTTGATATTTTATTTATTTGGCGTATAAAACTTGTGAGTTATTGTAGTGTTCATGTTATTGAATCAAAATTGGACTAAAATTGCACCAAAATTGCAGCTGCAGCCGCAGCCAGAGCATTGGGGCTGTGAGAGGGCATTCTTTGATAGAAGATATGGGCAAGATGTGACACACGAAATTAGATCAAAGTTGCATTAAAAAACAAAGCAAAAAGTGAATTAAATAATTCATGAATTTAAATAAATATAGAAAAATAATGTTCATGAGCTAATAAAACTCTGACATAATTTAGAGTGTAACTCACAATTCCGCCAGTCTTGTCCCCTTTTATATGTTAGAATTGATAAAAGAGAATTTTATCAAATTTCATAAATTTGTTGGATCATGGTGTATTAATACTTCTACTAATACAAAAAACACTGTCAAAATTATGCTCAATCAATCAAGAGACTAATTTGAACTCAAAAAAGAAAAGAAAATGAGAACACTGAATAATCAAAATATGTATACGTATTATATGTATCATCATGTGCTGTGCTGACAGAAACTGAACTTTCTTAAACTCAATTTTTTAAACTTATGCCATGGAAGTATTAAAAGCAGAGCACTGGTTCACTGGCCTCGATATCTGTTCGCCGGCGCTAGCCGGACAAGCCATGAACCCCACCGGCACCGGTGGAACCATGCAATTGTACGATAAACACAATGCTACTGAATCCGGCAATGGTAATCCTTCTTTCACCGGAAACTCCGCAATGTAATTATGTTGCAAATACAGAGTTCTCGTGTTTCCACTGTAAACACTCTCCACGTAATCCTTCGGTACTGCTCCGGTGAACCGATTGTTGTTAAGGAAGAGTGTTTCTACTCCGGCGAGAGTATTTGTGAGTTCCCCAGTGAGTGAGTTGTGACTTAGATCCACGGTGGATCCAGGGCCGTATACGGTGGCGGCAGGGGAGGATAGCGGTGGTTGTGGGACCCTTCCGGTTAAATTGTTCCGTTGGAGGTACATTGATGACAACGTGGATCGGAAGAGTGATGAAGGGATGGTCCCACTGAAACGGTTCATGCTTAAGTCGAGGTACACTAACTCTGAGAGTGATTCGAGGACGCTCAGTGGTCCCCACAACCGATTTCCTGATACTGACAGATAACGGAGCGTTAACGGCATTCTGGTTTTCCTCGGCAACATTCCCGATAGCTCATTGTTACTCAAATCCAAGTGAAGTAATTCCGTCGGCATAATTGGGATCTCGCCGGAGATTTTGTTGGATCCCAGAACTACTACCTTCAGCGAAGATAACTCGGAAATCGAACCAGGGATTGTACCAGTGAGTTGATTGTGACTCAAATCGAGAGTATGGAGATTCGGGAGTGTGAAAATGGAAGTAGGTATGGATCCAGTTAGGCGATTGTTCGTGAGAGAGATGACGCTGAGTTTTTTGAGTGTTCCGATTTGGTCAGGAATGGGACCAGTTACAATCCCAGTGAAAAGAACAAGTTGAGTTAGCTCGGAGAGGTTAGAGATAGCCGGAGATAATATCCCTGCAAGGCCAGGTGAATCAGAGAGGCCAGTGCCAAGTGTGAGTGTAGTAACACGTTTAGGAATGAACAGAGAGCAAGTAATTCCAGCAAAAGACGAGCACGGGTCGGGAGCAGTGAAGTCCCAACTGGTAAAAAAGGCATTTGGAGAAGAGGAAGTAATGTCGGTGAGGCTGTTTTTGATTTCACGCAGAGCAGATAAATCAACAACACTGATTCCTTGTGTTTCTACTGCACTCAAAAGAAGGACAAGAGGTAACAACAAAAGAAACATCCTCATTGCTACTTTCTTTCTTGTTTTCTTCTTTCTTTTAGTAGCCCTTTTGATATCTGAAAATGCGAAATGAGGGTGAGGTCAAATAGAAAAGAAGTAAGAAATACAAAAAGGCTGGGCTGTCAGATTCCTCTTTTATTTGTGCTCATGTGCACGCTATGGAGATAATGAAAAAGAAATCTGAGGTCCCAGATTGAATAATCAAGTAGTGTGACTTTTCTCCGGCAAGAGGAGAGAGAAAAGAGGGACTGAAAATGGTGTGACTGAGGTGGGGGCACTAAGTTTTAGAAAGAGAAAGAAAGGAGGTGTCAATATTATTATAGCTGGCTCAACGGTATAATCCGTTAGTAAAATCAGCTAAAGGTGTAATAGGTTAGTTGAGATTCTTTCAATTTTGCTTTATGAACTAGTTTAGTCAAGCCTCTAGTAGACTTCAAATACTCAGTGTGTGGCAGAGAATATTTGCTTGGAGGAGTCAAAACATGAGCATACTACATACTCTATAGTTTTACCTCATATTTATATCGTCTAATTTTAGGTGTATATATATATAAACACTTAAAAGTTAAACAATTAAACACACTCATTTTATATGTCAAATTGCATGAGATGCACGTGTCCTACATGTAAATCACATGAGATGAGATTTGTCATCTAGGACGCTTGTGTCTACTTATTTAATTTTATACTGTAATAGTGAAGTATTTATTTATGCATAGCCAGAATTGAAGGACATAAATATCAACTAAGCCCAAGTTAAACGTGTATGCATTATGCATATAAAAATGTACCACATACAAATAAGTCAATTCTCTCTATAGCAACATTGTTCATTTGAATTTTTTTTTACTATTCTGTTCATTTTTACTTGTTCACTTTTCAAAATTAGATTTTTTTCACTTTTAACATATCAAAAAAAGACTTATTTTCCCTATTTTATCCTCAACATTAACTACTTGTTTTCTAAATTATTTCTCAAGACCTAAGAGTATATACATCAAATAATATGAATATGTGGTGAAATACTAATAATATTAATCATCATTACTTTAGGAATGTGCAAAGTCCAAAATGAATTTTGAGCATATTGTATATAATAAAGGTATGGTTATATATAAACAATATCTTTTACCTCTACCTCCTTGGACAAAGGTAATTCCACCTCTAGATATCGAATGATGAGAGCAAGGAAAAGAAAAAAACTACTAGTAAAAGTTAGTTACCACAGATGACAGAGCTAAAAGCATAATGTAGACAGTTGGAGCACTTGAATTGAATAGGGTCATGTCATGAAGATATGTTATTAAGATCCCAAACCCAACCAATTAGTATGTGAGTCAATTTCATGACTGCCAGTGGTTGGTCACTTCATGTGGAGTGTTGGACCACTTATATATAAAAAAGTATATAGTATATCTAAGGCAAAAACAGATTGTCCAATGCAGCCAAAAGTTAACACAACTCAGAGAGTACACATCCATTCTCACTCTCCTACAATATGTCCCTCAACCAATCGTAAGTACTCCGCTAGATAGATATAAGATACTTTTGGCATTAAGGGTATGGTCTAGTGATCAATGAAGTGGTTGAGAATTCTGAGGTCTCAAATTCAAAACTCATACTTGGTGATTCTTTTCATTTGTCCTAGTTTTAGTGGACAAGAATTACCTAGTATCTATTACTGGTGTGAGGTTCAGGTAATAGATATTGCATGAAATTAGTTGAGATACCACGATTATTAAAAAAAAAGGATACTTTTGATTGGATTCTCTCCTCTTCTCCATTTTTCCGAGCTCTTACTTGGATGAAAGATGTATGTCATGGACATGGTTAAGAATGATAAATTTTCCATGTATTTGCTTTTAGTTTTTTTTTTTGGCAAATCCTGTAATTTAGTAAAATATTATTTTATTCATAAGTATTTAAATACTTTTCTCTTTTTGCAATTTAGTTACGATCGGCTCTTTTTTGGTATTTGAATAGTTATTTTTTTTTTTTTTAAAAAAACAAACATGCAGCAATGAGAAAATAAGAAATATCTAGTGTTTAGTGGAATTAAATTCCCAACAATCTAAGTTAATCAACGTGTGATATTTGTATAATTTTTTTTTATTGACTTGTCAATTGTTAAAGACAAAAAGATAAAGAAGGGAACTGTTATATTCTAGTGTTTTGATAATCCTCACAAATGTAGGGACCTGATCTTTGACAGAGTACTTCCGTCCAGATTCAAAGTGGTGCAAAGCTATAAAGTTAGCTTTACAGCTGTCTTGTCAAGTTGGTTGGTGAGATGTGCAACGTACTTCACCAATAGGAAGGACGGACGAAGTTGTTTGTTTAAGTGGTCAAAACCCTTGTTGGTAACTGATATTTATACACAACAATAAACAAACAACATTATTCATTCAAGAAGAGAGAAAGCTAGAAAGTCTTTTTCAAGAACTCAAGCATCAAAGAACGCAACAAAGGACCTGGTCCCGGAAAGTCTGCGAATGAGAAAAGGACGAAAAGACAGCTGTCAACTCTGATGTGGTTGGTGCACAACCTTTCATGACAGCAGACTTTCAGCCAATGACCTTGTCCCAAGGGTTTGTGTCCACTTTGATAATAGTCTCTTCTCCAAACACAAACCTAAGTTTTGGCAAACACAGTTGTGAATTTTTGAAAATTCATAAGCTCAAAAAGAAATGGCCATCTTCAAGGAAGAACATTGCTCATGCTCAACAAAGAGAACTGATGAAGTGCTGAAGCGTCTTTGTTGTATGTTGATCTTTGTGTCTTATGTGCTTAAATTGTAAATCAATTCCTAAGCTATAAAGGAATTAGATCTTTGTTCAGTTCATACAAAAAGTCTAGATCAGTCAGGTTGAGTGGTTTAGTGGGCAACATTGTTGTTGCGTAGTTGAATTCTAAATCATCTAAGAGTTAGGTGGTTTAGTAGGCAACATTGTTGTTGCTTAGTCAAAGTCTAAATCGTCCAGAGGGTGGTGGTTTAATTAGTGGGCAATACGTGTGTTGCTTAGTTGAAGTCTAAGTTATCTAAGAAGTAGGTAGCTTAGTGGGCAATAGTGTTATTGCTTAGTTGCTTTCTTTGTAGTAGATGTGCTACATTGAGGGGGAAAGGATTTAGTGTTAAATTCCTAGGTTGCAAGAGTTTGTAATCTGAATTGTTGCTCCGTTTGAGTGAAATGAAGTTTGGGTTGAAATCCTGTGAGGATAGGTCATGGTTTTCACCGCGCCCTTGAGCAAGGGGGTTTCCACGTAAAATCCTTATGCAGATTTTACTTTCAGCTATTTACTTTTTGCATTTATATCAGTTACTGTTCTTGTTGAGTCAAGGGACCTGGTCCGTTGACATATAGTGGACGTGTACTGTCACGCCTCAAGCTACCCCCAAGACGCGGACACGGGACCTAGGACCACAAGTGATCCCAAGCTAACCCTGCTGGCATGATCATGAGCATACTAAAGATAATAAACTGATGCGGAAGCTAAATCATAAATAAACTGAAGAGATGGGGAATACCCATATACTATAATTGAATATATCAAATCTGAGAGTTTAATACAAAAGAAATATCAAACTCAAAACACTAAGCTGAATCTAACTATGTCTGAAATAAGCCTCTAAACTGACTAGAAATGTTGGGACATGCCCCAACTAGATCTAGCAAAACTGAAACTAAAGACTGAAAGCGATAAAGATAAACATGTCACTAGTCCTCGAAAAATGAGGACTCACCACTGATGCTGCTGAACTGAAGATCGAAAACCGATCTAAGCGTGATCTGGATACTGAGAACCTGAACCTACATCACGAGAAGATGTAGCGCACGTATGCGTCAGTACTTGAGAGGTACTGAGCATGTAGGATAGAGTAGAGCTGAAAGAACATATAACTGAACAAAGCAATAAAGCAATGAAATAATCTGAACATGATATAGATACTTGAAATACTAAATACTGAGCTAACTGATGCAATGACCAAATTTATAACATGCTGAGACTGAATACTGACTGTACTGAAATATGGTCAATGCAATAGAGTCTGACTGAACTGTGGGAGCTACTAATAACCGACATAAAACCACATGAGCTAAATGTGGAGTCCGATGTATACGCCCCATCGAGAGGACCCAATATACCCTGCCAGAGGTATAGAGGCATGCTGGCGTGATCACTAAACTGATGTGCCCACAGAGGGGACTTACACCTACATGGCTCGTAGTTCTGGGACTATATGGGTACGCTGAAACCCTAGTCCAACTCGGTATTATGCTACTCCCAATGAATTAAGTAGTTAACTGGTTATGACTGAATTTCTGTAAATACTGGATAGCTCGAACTGAACATGCAAACTGAGAATGCAACAATTAATCTTATAATGATGCATTCATAAACTGTGGCATGTAAAACTGAATACTGAAATATCTGACCTAGCATGTGTAATTCAAGAACTAAAGAATTACATAGCTAGGGTTCTGAAATTCATGCGATAAACTGAGCAATAACATGATAATCTGATTTGGAACATTTAAATAACTAATTCATGATGATCTGCTATAATTCTAGAAACCCTAGGTCTGTTCATAATCATGGAATCAAGAATCTGACTGAATTCTAGGGACCTAATGGGCGAAAGGAACCCACTCGTGAAATCCCACATATCTGGTGGCAAATTCCACGGAGAAATCCTTTGATTTCGGGGCTGGAACTGATGGAACCTTGCTGCGTTCTTGAACTAGGGTTCTTGACCTTCTTTTCTCCTCTTAGCGTTCTAATTCTTCTAAGTTTGATTAATGATTTGACTTAGGTAAGTTCTAGTTATGTTTCTAGGTTTAAACTGATTAAAATCTCATGATTTAGGGTCTAAACGACGTATCTTAGGGGTTAAACGAAATAGGAAAAGATCAAAAGACCCTTGAATTAGCTGCTGTCGGAGTGACTGACGGACCTGACTGACGGTCCGTCGATTGGGTCCGTAGGTCGAGTCTGCCCGACAGGGCTTCACTAAATCGAGCATAACTTTTTACTCGGAGGTCAGAATTTAGCAAACTCGGTGGCGTTGGAAAGATAATTCAATTTTCTATCTAACCATAGGTCATGGGACACATAATTCGTTTTGTGATAAAAGTTATAACCATATGAAGTTGACCTATCAACAAATTTCAGCTAACTGGCTGCTAATCCTCATCTACGGTCAGACCTACGGACTGTGGATCTAATGACGGTC